GTAGATGTTCATTGAAATGAAAAATAAATAAATTAATTTTTTTTAAAAAAAAAAGATTACTTTCTGGAACCAATCAAATAAACAGACACAAAAAGGTTGAAAAAAAACAAACAAAAAAAAAACCAAAAACCACTTCACGCAAATCTATCTTTACTTCGCATCTGAGTTCCACTCTATTTCTGATTTTCTGTCTCTCACAAGGACTGCACCATTTAGGGGCCACTGAAATCCAGAATGATCTGTATTCATATCTTTACTTTAGGCCCCTCTGCAGGGATCTTTATTCCACATAAGAATGGATTCTGTGGTTTTGGGTGGGTACATGCCATGGGGAGGGTGTCATCCAACCTACTCTATCTCAGAACAGTTTCTGTTCTTTTTTTTTTTTTTTAATTTAGGTTGTTTATTTTTCATTTCAATGAACAGTTTCTATTCTAAAGCATTTGGAGTCTTTTCAGGATTCTGCAATTACTCAGCAACTCCCTGCTTTTGCTTTCAGAATACGACTTCGTCTCTGCCTACGAGGTTGACCGGAATGGGGATTATGTGTCCCATGAAATCGCGCACCACCAGCGGAGGAGGAGAGCAGTTGAGGGGGATTCTCTACACATTCGGCTGAGAGGCTTTGGGCAAGACTTCCACATGGATCTGAAAACGTCCAGCAACTTGGTGGCTCCCGGGTTCATCATCCAGACCCTGGGAAAGGGAGGCACGAAGTCTGTGCAGACGATGGCCCCGGAGGAGTTCTGCTTCTATCAGGGCTCCCTGAAGGCCCTCAAAAACTCTTCAGTGGCCCTTTCCACTTGCAAAGGTTTGGTGAGTACTGATTTTTCTTTTTCTGAGATGAAGGTTCAACATCAGAGCTTGTAGCCCAAGGACGTGACACCAGATGATAAGTCCAAGTCATAGAAAGAAACAGAAGGTGATAAATGGTCAAGAAGAAAGTTAACGTGAGAAACTATATAAACATGCACTTCCGTTCCTTTCTTCTTTTGACTTTCATAGAAGACATAACATGCATAAAAAGAATAAAAATAATGTATTATAATACCCGAGGTAAATTCTGCAGAAGTGGGATAGGTATCGTAAATACTGACTTATCATGCTGATAATATCAAATCATATATTCATTTTATCCACTTCTCTCCCTCATCTGTTTCAATGTCATGTACATTATTTATCCCCTCTTTTCCTAGTTTTCCCCAGGCCCCATGTCCATCCTGTTTTATAACAGTGGAATTATGGAGTATTTGGCATTTTGTGACTGAAATATTTCAATCAGCATAATGTCCTCTAGAGTCACCCATTTTGAATAATATTGCATGAGTTCCTTATTTTTCAATGCTACATAGTATTCCATTATATGAATATACCACAGCTTCTCTATCTTCGTTTGTTGATTGTTTCCAACTCTGTGCTATTATGAACAAAGCAGCAATAAACATGGGTGTACATATATCTGCTTGGGTGGCAGTTCTCGTTTCTTTGTTAATTTTAGTTTATTAATTTTTAATGAACATTGCAGAGATTTTGGATTTTCATTCATTCATTGTTGCACTTTTTTCTTTACCCGCCCCCTCCCCCCCAGTTAGCTCTTCTCTTTGAAAAGCAAAAGATAAACTTCTTCGTTGGTACACAGTCCCCCCCCCGCCCCCACCCCTGCCCCCTCAAAAGCACTCCACTATGCAACTTTAATTCTGGATTCCTGTGATAATCATAATATGCTATCATATATCACTTTTAAACTGTTCTCTCCCTCATCTGTTTCAGTTTTTTAGGGTATATTCCCAGTAGTGGAATTGCTGGGTCAAATGGTATTTCTATTTGCAACTTTTTGAGAAAGTGCCTTACAGCCTTCCACAGTGGTTGCACCATTTTACATTCGCACCAACAATGAATAAGGGTTCCAGTGTCTCCACAACCTCACCAGTATTTGTTATTTGCTGTTCTGTTAAATTTTCATATTCTTACTGGGGTGAGATGATGTCTCATAGTTGTTTTGATTTGCAGCTCTCTTAGAGCCAGGGATTTTGAACCTTTCTTTATGTATTTGTTCACCATCTGAATGTCTTTGGTGCAGTGTCTATTCATATTCTGTGCCCATTTTGCCATTGGGTTGTTTATCTTGTTGTGGCTATAACATTACATCTAGTTGATCAATGACATTTATTACAGCATCTTATCAATCCTCACGGCCTCTACCCTTTCCCTTCCTCCTACCCTTCTATCTACTAATCTCTACTCCCCTCCTCTTCTTATCTTGGTAAACTCCTCTGTTTTTCCTGTCCATGAGTAAACCTTTCTTTATATTTTCCCCCCAGTGGATTGGTCACACACATCTTGTTCCAAATCATTAATTATAATATGCAAAATATCTGATTGTGCATTTCACACTGCCCTTCCCTTTGCTTATGTGAATGAGCTCTTGTTTTGAAAATGTACAATAGGATGTGTGGCAAGTGGTGAACATAGTAATTTCTCAGGGTTGCTGTGATTCATTGGTTCATTATCAAATCTATAGGTCTTTATTTTGAGATGTAAAATTGTGTTTAACTAATCATTATTTGATGAGTTGCAGGAAAGGCAGTGACAGATGGCATTTACAGTTCACATGGTAATAGTGTGGCTGGATAACAGAGCACTGAGGACACTCCAGGGGACTTGTGTGCCCATGGCAGGGAGAGCCCTTTCTATTATTATATAGATCTGTTGGTGCACTTACCACTTTCCTAGTATCTGATCGAAACATTAACTCCCATCTCCAGAGGTCAGTTTAAAGATGAAGGTGACCTTACCCAAGCCATGGTATTATCAATTGCTTCACATACATGGGAAAAGCGGACAATGAATAAGGAAGAATCAAGAATCCTTGGTGCCTTTGAATTGTGTTGTTTGCCAAGACTTGCAAAAGAATAAACAAATCTGTCTTTAAAAAAGTGCAAACAGGATAATGAACTTCCTCTTATGTACTTTGTATTTGTTTTCAAAAAGGAGGAATGCTTGGGAAAAATATCATGCTGGGGAAAGTAGAGAGTCAGCAGAAGAGAAAAAGAGTCTCAATGAGATGAACTGACACTGCGATTGCTGCTGTGGGCTGGAACATGGTGGAGAGTGAGGACGACACAGCATACGGCACTGTTCTGATCTGCCGTTCACAGGGTCTCTAGGGGTTGCAGTTGACTGGAGAGCACCTGAAAAAATAGGAGATGTGGAGAATAGAACTGAATACCCCAGGGACTGCTGAAAGAACAGTCAAGGCTGTCTTGGAGAAGGTGCAGCCAACACCTTGCTTCAAGGTGCTTCTTAGAGGCAAGGCTCGTCCCACAAGCTTTGGGCATGTTGTTAGGAGAGGCTATTCCTTGGGAAGGGATGTCATGCTCAGACACGTGGAGGCTCTAGGAAAAAGAAGACCCTCAATGAGATGGACAGACACCGTGACTATGGTGATGGACTCAAGTATGTCAGAGATAATGAGGATGGCCCAGGATAGGACAGAGTTCAGGTCTGTTGTCCAGAGGGTCACTAGGAGTCACATTTGACTTGACAACACCTAACGATAAGAACAGCAATAACAGCAGAGTGTTGACACCTGGTCGGGTGAAGACTCCATATGTCTCCCTCTGACACTGGTTGTTGTTAGGTTGTTAGATGCTGTGTGGTGACTCACTCGCAGCGACCCTTGAGCAACAGAAGGAAAGCATGGCCAATAATGCGTTGATTGGGTCCAAAGTGGATCCAAAAGAAAAGACAATCATTGGGCATTTTTGCTTTTTTAAACTTTCTATATCCTACGGAAAGAGAATAGAGTAGATATTTAGTTTTGGGCCATAAGTTACTAACAGAGACACAGATGAGCAAACCTTGACTAAGAATTGAAAGCTACAGTGAGGGTAACGTTGTAGACTTTACTATGTGAACAAGTATGGAAAGGCATCACAGACCTCATGTCTTCTAAGTTTTGTTCTGTTGTTTCTTTTTCTCAGGTGCTCGTGTCTGATGTCAACATTATGTTCATAACTACTTCCTCAAAAAAGATAAAATCTATACAAGTGCTAAATCCTGTAAAAATGTTTCTGAAGAACTGAAGTTCTGTCTTCTAGTGGGGTTCTGCTGGGAAAACAAGTATGTCTGTCTTGCAGAGGGTGAAGCCAAGTCTCTCCTTGGAGGCTAGGATCTTGAAGCTCCACCTCAATTACTTTGAGCACATGGCCAGGAGAGATTGGTCCTTTTTTTTTCTTTTTTAATTAAATTTTGTTAATTTTAATGAACATTTACAGAGATTTTGGGTTTCCATTCATTCATTGTTGCACTATTTTCTCTACCCTCCTCCCCAGTTCATTCCTCTTTTTCTTTCCCCGCTTTGAAAGTCTATTTTAATTGTCCAGTTGCCACAGTGCTTGTCAAAGCCAGTTCTGATTAATCTCCTTTGTCAGTGTGTGCTGTGCCATTCCCTATCACTTCTCTCTGAGAGAGAATTCACCCTGATTCATAAGGAAAAGGGGACGGCGTATTCTCTTAGCTACTTCCTGCTGAAAAGGGATGCTGTAGGTTTCAGGGTGAGGATCTTCTCTCACTACTCTAAAGGGTGCCTTTGGCAGTAGGAAACACGTATATTATTATGGAGATTGATTTTGGAATTTAGATGCACTGTTATCAATTGTGCTCATATCCTTCAAGATGTATCATGGAACTGTTGCAGCCTAGAAGACACAAATTTAACTAACAAGAGATTGGTCCTTGAAGAAGGACATCATGCTCAGAAGGGTGGAGGGACAGCGCAGGAGAGGGAGACCCTGGATGAGATGGATTAATACAGTAACTGGGACGATGAGGGCTGATGTGTTGGCGTTAGTGAGACTGGCTCAGGACAGAGAAGGGTTCAGAGCTGCTGTTCATAGGGTCATTATGCATCGCAGGTGACTCAACCAATAACAGTCTATGACAGGTTTGGAAGCAGGAGTGGCATCTACTTCCTAAACAACTTGCCTCCAGAAACTCTATGAACTTCGATATATGTCGATAGTTGTAGAGGGGCTTCAGGCCTTTTTTTCATAGGGTCGCTATGGGTTGTGCTCCACTTGAAGGCAATCAACAACAACAACAACGGTGGGGTTTTTGTTGCTCACGCGTCTATTGTCACTTATGAGAAGCTTTTGGTTTGAGAATAGCTACAATGAGGAGCTGACAGGCAGAGGGTAGGGGTTATTTGGCATTTTGAGTATAATAATTATGCGCCTGATCCCTTCCACAATCTCCTGAGAGAAACAAATATCCCTTCCTTATGTGAAAAGGATTTGGGTTATAGCACACAAGTGAGGGTATCTCCGCTTTAGCTTCAACAAAGACATTGACCAGAAATGAAAGCCATTGTGGGGAGCCACGCCCTGCTGAGCTCCGTAAACTCGGGTTTATTGGAGAGAATGAGTGAAGCGCTTCTCTCTTCTAGGTAGTGCGGCGTCCAACAGAGCTCTGCCACTGGGATCTGTCACATGAGTATGTACAACAGCTGGCGATGTCGACGTCTCTTTGAACTGAATTGGAATCGGCACCTCCACTTCTCAATGTCCAAGGACAAGAAAGATAAAGAGGAAAGGCATTATCAGTTAGCAAACATAAGATTTAATCCTGTGTGCACTGAGATACACACTTGTACATCTTCATTACATATCTTACTAGCAGTTACTTTCAGTTTCACTGTAATTTGTAGATCATCACTGTAAACAGACTTGAGTTAGATTTTTTTTTCTTTATTGTGAGGTTTAAGGGCATTCACTCTAAAATCTGACAAAAAATATTTTGAAGAATGAAATGAGAAA